GAGAATTGCTGCTAAGGGTTTTAAGCAGGAATGGCTGACTCTTTGCTTTGCTAGCAATAACCTGTTAGAGAATGTAAAGAAGACAAGAGATCCCATTTCACAGTCCTGATTTTTTAAAAAGGCACAATTTTAATAAGTGCTTGTGAGCAATTTGAAGTGAGTGGCAACATTTAATAGCGTTCTGAAGAAAACCTAAATAAATAGAATATGTGCCACCATACCCCCAAGCTGGTCCTTCCAGCCCTGAGCATTTGGAAATGTGCTGCATTGTAATGTGGCTCTGGCCTCACTGCTGGGTGACAGTGCTTCAATGGACTTCTCCTTTTGCTTTCAGAAGTGACCGGGGAGGCACGTCCTTACCATGGGAAGGAGGCTGTGGATCCACGGCAGGGGCGGGCCCGAGGCGGCGACCCCACACACTTCCATGCGGTGAATGTGGCGCAGCCTGTTCGCTTCAGCAGTAAGTTGCAGACCTGCCTGCCCATCCTGCCCTCCTCGGGGCAGCTGACCGTGTGCGTGTGGCCTCAGGCTTGCTTCCCCTACTCAACCCCTGGCTCTACCAAGGCCACTGGGTTGTGCGAGCAGTTCCGGAAATGGTGGTTCTGTTCCCTAAAACAGTCCTACACAGTGTTGGCACTGTCCTTTTTTTATGAATGAAGATGCTGAGTGGTGGACCCCTTAAGTGGAGCTGACTTGTCTCTGGAATCTGGCTGCTTGGTGTTCATTAAAACTACTGCCTTTCAGAACTGGACTACACTGGCCTTTAGAAATCCCATCATTGGCTTGTTCCCTTTTATAGATGGAAAAACAGGCTCCAAGAGATTAGGTGATGTGTCCAGTGTTGCCTTAAGTAAATGCACCCAGATTTGAGTCCTCAGACCCCTGTTGGCCCATTGGGTGGTTTCAGATGCTTGATGTAAGTATCCCTCAAGCCCCTGTGTGGTGGGCTGATCAGGTCAGAGGTGGGTGCCCTGTCATGGGGGTCTGAGGCCCCTGCCTGCTCACCCTGGCAGGGTACTGAGCAGCAGGGGGTGAAGGCCACTGCCCACCATTCTCCTCAGCAGTCCACTGTGTGCATGGCCTGGACCCCACACAACAGGCCCACCCCTGCCCTGGTGTCTGGGCACTGACAGCTCTGCCTGCCTCAGATGTGGGGCACAGTTTACGGCCCTTCCCCCAGGACATTTTTTTGACTCTTCTTTCATGTGATTTAGTGAAGTTAGGGGTTGGGGATAGGTTCTTTCCTTCCTATTGCCACATCCCACACCCTGCCCCAGCTGGAGTTAGTGAGCCTTGAAGAGCTCAGCACCTACAGGCCCTGAGTGTGTATATACACGCCTGCCGGGGTATGTGAGCACGTGTGCACACCCTTGTCTGGGTATGTGTGTGTGTACACACCTGCTGGGGTACATGAGTGTGTGTGCATGCCTGCCAAGGTACATGAGCATGTGTCTTTCTGTTGCTTATCTATTTTCTTTTGAACAGGTAATACTTCTGCCTAGGTAATTATTCCACAGAATTCGAAAGAAAACAAATGAGCCAGTAAGATGTCATTTTCCCTTCCTCTGT